TCCCCCCTCACTTTTCTGTGTAGAATGGGGATGCATAAAAAGTTTACATTAAAGGAAATGGCATTTTTAGCAACTAGATCATCTTATAACCTTAACATTGGCCAAGTTTCATTGAATGGTGAACATAGTCAACTACTCCTGCATAATGTTTAACCTTTTTGTTGTTTACTTGTCTAGTTTTCTGTGTTCCCTTTTACATTTTAGATGCTCTGTAATTTACTCGGCTAATGATGAATAGAGGAGAAGCCCTCTATTACTTAATTAATTGGAGATTCTCAAATATGTTTTTGCTTGCAGAAAAGACATTGAAATGCATCATGACTGGATTAGACAGCTGTATTTTGACAATATTTGCTGATATGCTCGTTTAGACTTAGCAATTAGAGTTATCTTAAGCCTTCATTTTCCTTATCTTTGTTGATATTCTCTTGTTGCTTCTAGATGTTAAATCATTGATATTTTACTGCTTCCACATGATGGATTGTTAATTAGTCTAAGAGTGTTTTTCGGATGTGCAAAAGTTGTTGCATATATCAGAGAAAAAAAAATATCATTTTGATGGTTGGGTTGGTTGTTAGCTTTACAGTGTTTTGAGTATTTCTTAGTTATAGAGAATTTTACAATAGCATATTAAAATTATTATGTTTGTAGGTGTTTTGGATATTTCCTGTTCTATTTATTGATTCTTCTGTTATAATTGATATTCTTTTTCTTATTCCAGACTATGTGCAGCAAGAAATTACAAAAGCAGGGTTTGTTGAACCAACAGCCATCCAAGCTCAAGGCTGGCCAATGGCTTTGAAGGGTCGTGATCTCATTGGCATTGCTGAAACTGGATCAGGGAAGACTATTGCCTATTTATTGCCTGCAATTGTTCATGTGAACGCACAACCAATTTTAGGTAAAAAAATTCACTCATTGCGACTTAATTTTATCAGTCTGCTTTTAGTAATTCAGAGGGAATTATTATTGGCCTCTTTATATATGTTTTCAGCTCATGGAGATGGTCCAATTGTATTAGTATTAGCCCCAACACGTGAACTTGCGGTTCAGATACAACAAGAAGCTGCTAAGTTTGGTGCATCATCAAGGATCAAGAATACATGCATATATGGTGGGGTTCCAAAGGGACCTCAAGTGCGTGATCTCCAGAAAGGTATGTTGTAATATGCATGGGTTGATTGTTCCACTGTATTTGTTGTTCCAGAACTATTTGCACTCTCGTATACACAGGTTTCAATTTAAGATGCTTTCTGACATGTTTATTGTTAGTTTAAATAATCACTTATGTTTTAGCTTGTAATTGCTTGAACCTTTTGGCAGTGAAGGTGTTAATATTGTTTGTTGGATCAGGTGTTGAGATTGTTATTGCTACACCAGGAAGGCTTATAGATATGTTGGACTCACATCACACAAATTTGCGAAGGGTTACTTATTTAGTCTTGGATGAGGCAGATCGGATGTTAGATATGGGATTTGAACCTCAGATACGAAAAAATTGTTGCTCAGGTCTCTGTTGTTGCCTTTCTCTTTTGTTATGGTCTTCCCCCCAACCCCCTCCATTTGCCCATGACATTTACATTGTTTTAACTCAATTTGGGAATAGTACTGATGAGTTATCCAAGAGATATGGTGGAAGTCACTCTTTAGGATGATAAGAATGTTGACTTCAGAAGAAAAATGATTCTTTGTTTCAGTTTACAGTACAATGCAGTCGTGCAACTGTCTGAAGAAAAATGATTTAAAAATGGCAAAATTATAGGTGTTAGTCTCCAACTTTATATTTAGCAAAGAATATGTGATTGTGTAGAACCTCTCTCTCTCTCTATATATAAGCAAATTGGCAGCTTCATCCTCTATCTCAACTACTCTTTCTCTGATTGGCACTTATATTTTATTCAGATCCGTCCTGATCGTCAAACTTTATACTGGAGTGCAACATGGCCAAAGGAGGTTGAACAATTGGCAAGGCAGTTCCTTTACAATCCATACAAAGTAAGATGCTTCATAATTTTCGCGGTTTTTACTAAATAGATTCCCTTGTGAGGAAATGTTATCCATTGCCTTTTGTTTTAACATTTGACTTTCTATCTGATTCTTCTATGATCTCCACATATTATCTCGTTTACTTTCTCTATGTTTTTTACAACTTGAAGATTTTAAATCTTGCCAAATATAATTCTTGGCTCTCCAAATGTGGTAATCTTATTTTTAGTCTAAAGTTGGACTTTGTTGTTTCTATTGTTCTGTTATTCACTTAAATTTATTGTTCCATTGGACTTTTGTGCAGGTTATAATTGGATCTGCAGATTTAAAAGCTAACCATGCAATTCACCAACACGTTGACATTGTTTCAGAGAGTCAGAAATATAACAAGTAGAGTACAGTTCACTTTGTATGGGTTATAATTATTTTAACATTTAGTATATTATTAAGGATGTTTAGTGATCTGTGTTGATGTTTCAGATTAGTGAAGTTGCTGGAGGATATCATGGATGGCAGCAGAATTTTGATTTTCATGGATACCAAGAAAGGCTGTGACCAGATCACTAGGCAACTTCGCATGGATGGTTGGCCTGCTCTCTCAATTCACGGAGACAAAAGTCAAGCTGAAAGGGATTGGGTCCTTTCAGAGTTTAAAGCTGGCAAGAGCCCTATAATGACTGCAACAGATGTTGCGGCTCGTGGCTTAGGTATGTATGTAATAGCATGGGACCATGGGCACATATATCTAGATTGCGACTGGCCTCATCATCTGGATTATTTATCAAATTTAGTTGGTGGCAGATGTGAAAGATGTGAAATACGTAATCAATTATGACTTCCCGGGATCTCTTGAGGATTATGTCCATCGCATTGGTCGAACAGGAAGGGCAGGGGCAAAAGGAACTGCCTACACTTTCTTCACAGCTGCAAATGCCAGATTTGCGAAAGACCTTATTGCCATACTTAAGGAAGCTGGGCAAAAGGTCAGTCCTGAATTGGCAGCGATGGGACGTGGTGCGCCTCCTCCTCCGTCAGGTTAGTTTACTGTTCTTTTGGAATATGCATGCGCAAGCAAATTCAATGAAATTGAATAATTTTAATTAGTTCCAGTAGCATTTGCACGTTTAGATACTTGATTCAATAAGGTGTTACAGAAAACACTAGTGCATTGCCACAGCCCACATGTTACAAGATTGTTTCTCTGTTCATCGCTTCAATAAAAGAAATTGTTACATTTTGCTATGTTGGTTGGTGATTATAGAAGATATTTCAAATGGAGCTATTGCAGCTAACTGAACCGCAATTGAATTGCTTGATATGTTACTTCGACTTCTTTGCCATAGCATGTTGTAAAGAATCCTGAGATCTTAATACATTGTTTGTCATACTCAGTTTGTTCATCTGGTGAAACAGGTCATGGTGGTTTTCGGGACCGAGGTAAGGGTTATGGCGGCCGCCCTTGGAACTGATCAACGAAAAGACGTCTCCATAAAGGGGTCTAAATCGTGTAGACACTTTTTTTTAATTTGTTTTGAGTACCACCTCTGGTTTTTCGGGCTCAACTGTCATTACTTGTAAAACTAGCAGGAAGAACAAGCATAGATGTAGACTTGTACATCAATTGTCTTTATTTTCTGATAATCCATTTTCCCCTCATTATACTTGACTTGCCTTCGATTCCACATGTCCGTACTCTACCCAATTCAAATCCAATATTGCTTTGTAAAATATTATGATTTGCATTTTAAACTTATTATAATTTGTGTTGTACCAAAATGTTATTTTAATTTAAAATAAAGATTTTTTTTTAATAAAAACAACACTTACAGTTGGATATGATCAAAACATTTATGTTTACAAATTATTCTTGCTTAATCCAAAAATACTTTAATGAAAAATTAAGTGCTCGAACTATATATTAAGTTATTATTAAGCATTCAAAGAATTTTCAGTTAAAAATAAGTTCGAACATTTATAATAGTGACATATGTTAGATAACGGTAATTTTAACGGTTGCTATAGTCCAAACACCTAAACATGCAACGAAAAATTCTTTAGACATCTAAAGTTAACTTAGGATATAGTTTAGACAATTACTTTTACATTAAACTTTTTAAAAAATGAAATTAACTTGCTTATTATTGAGTCAAGTTCAAATTATATTTCATTCAAATACTTTTTAAATTTAATTAACCTATCATTTACTAATTAATATTGAAAAATGTTAATTTGAACTAGAACTCGAGTTGAAACTATAATAATCAAGTATACGAGTAAAATAGTTAAAACTATAATGTCAACATCATATAGTATTATAATGATTAATGTTGCTTTTAATTAATCAAATGGTCATAAGTTTACTTCCTTAATTTAAAGATTATGTTAAATGTAAATTAAGTTTAGAAGTCATATTAATTTTCTGGGTAAAGTACACAAATGGTCTCTCAATTATAGGGCATTCTCTTATTGAGTCAATCGACTATTAAAAGTTACAAAATGATCATTTGATTATAGGGTTTTATTTTGTTGAGTTCCTCTACTATTGAATATTACAAAATGGTCACCTGACTATTCATATATTCAAAACTCGTCATTTTCTGTTAAAAAAAGGATGATAGTCCTAGTTGGACGTTAACATACTGACTGTGATATGATAAAATATGATCCCAAAATCTCAAAGGAATATCATATATCAATTAATAGGTTAAAGTTTAGCTTAGACTGTCATTAATTTTTTTAACCAAAAAAAGACAAGTTTGGAACATATGAATAGCCGGGTGATCATTTTATAATTTTTAATAGTCGAGTGACCCAACAAAGTAACATCCTATAATTGGGAGATTATTTTGTACTTTTTAATAGTTAGAGATCCAACAAAACAATACTATGTAGTCGGCTGACAACAAAACAACACATTGTAGTCGGCTGACCATTTGTGTATTTTACCCTAATTGTTTTAAAAGATTGAGGACCTCATGTAACATTAAGCCAAAAATAAAAGAGGGTGGCTAATCAAATAATAATGGGCGCAAGCAAAAGAGGGAAACGTAAGGGAGAACTCAGAAAAATCGAAGCTTCGCTGGAAAACGAATCTCAACAATGAGCGAGGGTCCCAAGCTGTACGACCACAAACCCAAGAAAGGTATAACAAAACTCAAAACTAATCTAAATTCCATTTGCTTCTCAAATAATAGGGGTTTATGGGTGTTTGAAATTTGATTCCTTTTCTTATTGCAAAAACAATCTGCAGCTCAATTGAAACAATTTCAACAGAAAGGAAAGGATTTTCCTTCAAATTCATCTGGTGCAGCAGCAGCAGCATCATACACGATGGGCCAGCCGCCGCCGCCGCCACCTCAGCCTCCAAAGGAATCGTTTGCAAGGCGTTACAAGTTCCTTTGGCCCCTTCTATTGGCTGTCAACTTTGCTGTCGGAGGTGATGATTCCCTTTCTTTGTTTTAGTTGTTGAATGATCAGTAGTTCAAATGGGTTCTTTTTAATTTGGGTTGAATATTGAATTTTTATGCTTTTTAATTGTTGTTCTCGATTCTGTTTTTGATGGGTAATTGTTCACTTTAATCCCCAGAACAATGATGATTTCATCCAATTGACCCAAGTAGATTGTTTTTCAACCATTTAAAATATTTAGTTGAACTTTTGGGGAAAATTAGCTGATTTTTCTGGTATTCATCCAAAAGAGGAGTTTTGATTATATGTATGGATATATGGTTGAGTAATCCTTAACTTAAGTTACATTCACAATCGAATAGTGTATTGGACTGATGGGTATCCAGACTCACTTGAGGGTTAGAAAATATTTACATCCGACCTCCATGTTACGGTATTCTCTTAAATGCATAGTTACCAAACTGAAGTACCGAACATTGTGGAGTGATTATCTCTATATTCTTTGGGACTTGTAACAATAACGACGAGTGATGTGATTACCAATATGTCTCCTGCTTACCGAGCATTGTACGAGCAATGACTGTTTGAAAGCTGGTGACTGATTTCTTATCTGCATCAACATTTCTATGATAAATTGCAAAATGAATTTGTCGTAAGTTATAACTAATGAGTGATTACAGAGGAGTAAATAATATCGATAGCATTCATATAGCAATTACTTTTGGGGAAAAGTTGGATTCCTAGTTCTCAAATCAGTGAAAGTTTTTCTTTCATGCTCATTTCAGTTTTCTTTCTATTTTTTATCAGCTCTGATAATTACCGAGAGGGAGCCTGAATCTCGCTTAAATGAGAGTAAGATGAGAGGTTGCTTATCTGTGGTGTATGGAATTTTAACAATTCCGTGTTCTGATAATTACTTTTAGATATCATAGAAGAGAGAACTAGCTATTGTTCACAAGTGATCAAATAGTTTTTCTACGCATGTTGTTTGCTTGAGGATCATATCTTGATTGATTTTTGTTGTCGGGCCATAATAATTAGAATGGACCGTATCACTTCTTTACTCTTGGTATCTGGTTGTATTAACAGTTCATATAGATTCATCTTGTCCGGCAAACTCATGCACTGAATCGTGGTCCAACTTTCGCTGCTTTCCCCTGTTCTGAACTCAACCTTTTAACATAAGCTTTTTTTATACTGTCAAACTTGTAAAGCCTGGAAATTTTAGGTTGGCTCTTGACAATTTGGTGTTTTAGAGACATGATTTACTTCTACTCTGGTAAAAATCTGAATGATCAATGCACAGCTTATCTTTTCACGAGAACGAAGAAAAAGGACACGAACGGAACGGAAGAAGATGTCGATTCGAGTCCTCCTGTTTCAACTACAACTATCACTACTCAAGTTACTGAAAACTCATTACCCGCACCACCCATCATCACACAGCATTTGAATTCGTCTGAACCGATCCCAGAGAGCCAGCAGCTTGAACTTTTTAAGTATATATTGGAAGAGAAGAGGAAAGTCAAACCAAAAGATCCCGAGGAGAAGAAGAGGCTGGATGAAGAGAAAGCTATACTGAAACAATTCATCCGAGCGAAATCGATACCGCAATTATGACTCGATAATCCATTGCTGAAAACCTGGATATATTTTACTTTGACTTTGTTTTAGAGTTTTGGAAGTTTGGTTTCCTGAATTTCATGTTTTGTGTTTCCCTTTAGGTTTGTGGAATGTATAATTTTCTTGACAACTACTTTCTCATTTTAATCGTTGACTTCATCAAAATTTAGATTTTTTTCATTTTCGGTTCTTCAGTATCTTTTACGAACGCAATAGATCCAAACGATTTCATCTTATCTTCATTTTCTCACTATCTAAAATTGATTTTTTTAATCTCTCTTTAAAATTTGTAAAATTAAAATATAAAAATCCATTATTGTTTAAGTTTCAAGCTTTCTTGAATTTGAGAATTTTGAGGTATACTTTAAAAAATTAGAACAATAAAAAAATATTAATTTTTATAGTGAACTACAAAAATATAACGATCGAAACGACGATAAAATTAAAGATAATTATTTTTTTAAAAAGGATAACAACTATATCATTAACATTATTGTTTATTTAATGGACCAATATAAATTTATTCAAAATATTTAGTATTTTAACCAATTTTTTTATAATTTAATGTCCAAAATGAGATAACATCTAAATTTATGACTAATGATGGAGTTAATTTTAATTTTAATTCTCTCATGGATCTGGCCGACTCTAAGCGAGCAGCTTCGCTTAATTCATCTTGGGGTGTAAAGCTAATTTCTTCCTCACAAATTTTCTCTCCCGAAAAAAGGGTTATGTTATATTTCAATCAAGTTCCTTCTTACTAACCCTAATCTTTCCCAGGTTTCAATTCATCTTCTTTTTATTGTTTTTCTTTCAGTAACATTAACTGAAACTTAGGACTCGGATGTTTCCAAGACAGAGTTTCTTTCTTCTTCTTTTTTTTTGGGTTGTTAGCTTTTGCTTAATTCTCTGTTTGGTTGTGAAGGTAAACGGTTCTGAAGCAAAGAGACGTAGTGAGATCCCCCCACTCAATTTGCTCGAGTACGGAGATAAATGTATTTTTTTCACTGTTTTACGTTGGGAGTTCGAGTTATTTAGCTATTTTCTTAATGAAATATATTATTTTCATCTTCTAACTTATTCCTTGCATATTTTAATTTGTGTTTGTTAATTTATATGCATGTGTGTGTTTGCTCGCGCTTGTATGTATTGAAAAGTAATTTTATGTATAGATTTTGCCTGCCACAACTTGCAAAAAGAGAACTCGATATTGCAATCGGAGATAGATGATTAGAATTTCAAGTTGGTTTAAATGGAGTATGGTTTCTAGTGTTTTGCAGATGGTATTTGATGAGAACCTAAGGGATCCCGTGCTTCTTATTTCTTTTTTTTCCCCTGCTATCGGTGGGGGCCAATCTAAAAATGGTGACTTTGCTTTTAAATTTCCGCCTTAGATGTAGTTAAGAGAATTTGAAGGTTGAATTAATATCTGATAATCCACACTTATTGATTTAAAAACAGGAAAATGTTTAAAGGTCTGGACTTTGGTGCTTCTGATTTTCAGTATCATATATACTATTCATTTGGATTATCTTGAATAGTTGCATGCTAGACTCAGTTGAGCTCCTTTTGTTCTGGTTATTAACTACAGAACATCTTTGGATCTAGTTGCCACTTGCTGTGTGGTTAATGTATAAATTTCCTCTTGGAAGTAGACCACAAAATTTCATGAAGGTTTTGATCAATTCTTTTTGTGTGAAAATTCTTCTAGTGTATACTATTTCTTTCACCGGTACCATATTCATAAAATCTTATATATAAGTAAACCAAATATTCATAAAATCTTACTAAAGATTTTTTTATTGTGTTACTTTTTCCCAGAATAATTGAAAATGGTTGGGAGAAACCGCGTTCGTCGAGAAGCCTTCAATGACCAGCGCGGATTTCCTCCTGAAAGACCTTTCCACCGTGGTCCACCTCTGCCACATCGACCTCCTCATCCTGCATTGTTGGAGGAAGAACTTGAAATGCAGCATGCAGAGATTCGGAGGCTTTTGAGTGATAACAGCAGGCTTGTAGAAGATCGAATGGCTATACAACAAGAGCTTGGTGCTGCGAAAGATGAAATTCATCATTTGAATCTTGTCATTGGTGAAATTCGTGCTGAACAAGAGCTGCACTCAAGGGGACTCATTGATAAAGGCTTGAAGCTGGAGGCAGATCTCCGTGCAACTGAGCCATTGAAGAAGGAGGCTGTGCAACTCCGTGCAGAAGTTCAGAAACTGAATAATGTTAAGCAGGGACTGGCTGGCCAAGTGCAGACTCTCAAGCAAGATATTGCCAGGCTGCAAGCTGGTAATCAACAAATATCTGTTTTAAGAGCAGAAATTGATGGCCTGCACCAGGAGTTGGTGCGTTCGAGGTAGATACCTGCATCCTTTTTCACCCGTATTATTTTCTAAGAAAAAAAAATCCAAACGAATGGATGCTTCTGTTGAGCATTTAACTTGCAGTACTAATCATTAATATATCCAATTATATATTTAAATGCTAAATTAGAAATTTATTTCACAGGAATGCCATTGATTATGAAAAGAAGGCAAATATTGAGCTGATGGAGCAGAGACAAGCAATGGAGAAGAACATGGTCTCCATGGCACATGAAGTTGAAAAGCTGCATGCAGAACTTACCATTGTGGATGGTAGATCTTACTTTTATTATATGGTTAAAGTTTCTTTATCAAACTTGAGTAGAGTGATTTTTCTTAATTTGCTGGCTGGTTATATTCCCCTTCTTGCTCCTTCATCTTTTTAGAACTATAAAGGTTAGAACTTGGGACCTTCTTGTTGAAAGTCTGAAGTTCAAATGGTCAGGTGCATTTTGTGGATTCCATTGAACCTGCATTGATGTTTCCTGGCTTTTCCCTTACTCTTTTGATCTGCTCAATTGAATGATCATAATTAAATTTGGCTCCCCTCTAATCTCAATGTCTTGATAATTGATGGCTCAAGGTGGACCATATGGAATGAAATTCAACAGTTCAGAGGGGGCTTTTCCTGCTTCATATGAAGGATATGGGGCTCATCTGGTATTTATGCTCATTTTCTTGTTTGTTTTATTTGTTTGACCATAAATCTATTGCGTTGGGATTTTTTTCCCAATTAACACTTGTTTTTTTTTTTTTTTTTTTTTTTTTTTTTTATCCAAAACTAATTATGAAACTTTGACAATAGAGCCAAAAATGAGTGAGAGAGAGAAAAACGTAGAGAGAGAGAATTTTAAAAAAAAGTCAGTTCCCGATGAGTGTTGGTCGGCGTTTATCGACAATCTGAGCAGGAGGGTTTCTCGTCATACTCTTAAGGAATTATTCTTAGTCCATGGTCCGGTTATGAGAGTTTTCATTCCCAATCAAATTAGAAATCCTAAGTACAGATTTTCCACCTTTGCTTTTGTTCATTTTAAGAGGGAGGAAGATTTAAGGAGGGCTGTTGATGAGTTAAATGGGATTGTGATTGATGGAAGGAAGATCTTAGTTAGTCCTGCCAGATTTAAGGATGATCGTTCACGGTCAAGGGTGGTGCTTACTTCTTCAAACGAGGCTTCAGGTCAGATTTTTGCAGATTCTTCGAAATCAAGAGAAAGAGAAAATATTATCAGAAGTAGAAGGGACGATAGAACTTATAGGGATGCTCTGATGTCAAATGGGATTACAAGGGGGTATAAAGAACTATTGTCTGAGGATGTCCAAAGGAGGAATGTCAAGAAAAACATTATGGAGATGCATATTCCATCAGAAAGTGCCAATTGGGTGAAGAGGTCGTTAACAGGGATTATCAAATACTCGTTTCAAGTTGAGTTCATTCGGAATGCCTTATTTAAGGAAGGCTATGATGTTCAAATTGCTAGATGGGGTTATGTTTGGAACTCTTGCGTTTTAGTTCTCAATTCCCATGAGGAGATGCTGGATTTATGGAGCAAAAGGAAGAGGTTTTAAAACAGTGGTTTGAACGAGTGGAACCTTTACTGAATGAGGCCGGAGTTCCCATGGCCTTCTGCATGACAGAATTAATAGGGGTTCCTTTGTTATGCTGGAATGAATCTTTCTTTGAGAAAATGGCTGGGAGATGGGGCAAAGTGGTAGGTATTCATGAGAGTACAAGGAAAAGAGAAGACCTTACAATGGCAAGAATTTTATTGAGGGTGGAAAGCCCCTTTGATGTTCCAGAGGTGATCACTCTTGGATCTTATGGAAGATCATTCAAAGTAAGTATTAAGATTGGATCAGCAAGTGAGTATTCAAGTTCGTTTTTCAGTAATTTTCCGGTGGAGGATTCCGATGAGGCATTTTCTGAAGAAATTAGGTCTGAGGAGGAGGTAGACAGGCTGTTGTCAGATCATGGGGAAGGGGAGGCAGGTGCAGCAAGGAAAAATCGTCTGTCAGTGGACAATTGGATTGAGCAGGGTGTGTTCAGTGGTTCTGGAGGAGTTAGTGAGAATAGACAGCTAGCAAGGCTTCCCTTAGATAGGAAAGGTATTAAATGTAGTATGCCAGAAAGTCAAAAGGTTGGGAGTCTACAAGTTGGTGAGTTTGCAGGTTTGGGGATTAGAAGTCAACATTATTCGGCTGATGGGTCTCAAGCCCATTCTGAAAATTCTGGGCAGTCTGGGTCAAAAGATTTTTCGGGTTTCATTTCTGGGCCAGCATATATAGTTAATAAGTTTGGGGATTTTGTGGAGAACCTTAATTTAGATGGGAAAAACAGGAAAACGTTTAAAGTATTGGAGAAGAGCCCAATTACAGAGAAGGTGGTTAATGCAGAAATAGAGGCTGAAGAAGAAAGTTTAAGGTTGGTTGATCCGGTTACAACTAATTTAGGAAACATCTCAAGGGGGAGACAGTTACACCGCTCTAGAAGAAAGGTCTCATCTGAGAGTGAGGTGCTGGAAACTAGAAGTTTGAGCAGTTGCAAAAGGGTCTATAGCAGGTCGAGGGATAGAAGATATTGGTATGGAGATTTGTTGAACTTTACGAATGAAAAAGGTGGCACCAAGGTGGGGCAGAGGAAGTTGGATGTGGACTCCAGCATTGCAAATCAGATTTGTTTTTCAACAGAGCTCATTGCTGATGGGAGTCTTCTTCCTAGCTCTGTTAATGGTCTTGGGGATGGGACCGTAGAGCGGGAGATTGAAGGTTACTGTTCTGAAGGTGAATGCTTAAGACCCAAATCTGGTTTGTTAATTAGAAGGAAGAGGAGAGCTAGAAGGATCCTGTTTCGAGAAGCTCTTGACCAGGTGAGCATTGATATAGCATCCTCCTCAGCTTTCTCGAGTTTATTGAAAGAAGCTGTTGAAACTTGGGAGGTTAGTAAGCTTTTGGGAGTATCTTTTAAGGAAGGGAAAGAAGCATTTTTGGAAAAAATCATAGCTCTAGAGAAAGGCTTGATTGGGATTAATCAAGGTTTGGTTGATTGAGGGTTTTGTTTGTACCTTGTTCCCTTTATGAAGATGTCAAAGTTAGTAATATGTTCATGGAATGTTAGGGGTCTGGGGAAAAATGAAAAAAAGAGGGCTGTTCAGAATTTAGTCACTAGCTTAAATCCTACTTTCCTTTGGTTACAAGAAACTAAGACTGAAAAATTTAAGAGGTCTTTCTTTAGGAGAAGTGGGATTAATAAGCTTAAAGGAGTTTTGGAATCTCCTTCAGTTGGATCAGCGGGGGGCCTGTTGTGTTGTTGGGATGACAATATCTTTGAGTTGGAGAGTCAGTTTATTAGTAGGAGATTTATAGCTACCTTTGGTAAATTCCGGAATAAAAACTTCAGTTGTGGTTTCATTAATGTATACGGTCCAGCAGTGGAGGAAGAGAAAGCTGATTTTTTTGAAGAATTAAGCAGTTTTCTTAGTGGACAGAATTTTCCAGTTTGTGTGGGAGGGGACTTCAATGTTTATTTACAAGAAAATGAGAAGATGGGCAGAGGCCAAAGTAGGAGCTCAATGGAGATCTTTAATGACTTCATTCTTCATACGGGCTTAATTGATCTTCCTTTGAATGGGGGAAGGTTCACTTGGTGTAATAACCAAGAGAATCCCACGTTTGTAAGATTAGATCGTTTTTTGGTTGACAGTCAATTTCTAGCGTTATTTCCGGACATTTCACAGTCTCTTCTACCAAGATCATTGTCAGATCACAATGCCATAATTCTTGTGAATAAAGGAGTGGACTGGGGTCAAAAACCGTTTAGAATGTTCAACTATTTGATGGATGAGGAGGGTTTTGAGGATATGGTTATTTCTTCTATTCAGAGTTCTAAGAAAAGTCAGAAGAAGGCAGGTGCTTTTAGTCTTTTAAGGAGTGCCAAACATGCAATTAAAAAGTGGTCTGGAAACAGAGATAAGTATCCAGGAGACTTGATTTCTGAGTTAGAGAAGAAAATTTCGAAGATAGAGGCTGATATTCAACAAAAGCAGGGTGCTGTCGATAGTGAGGTATTAACTGAGTTGAATAATTGTAGAGCAGAATTGTGGAAGCTGCACAAGATCCAAGAGCAGATTTGGTTTCAGTATTCGAGATCTAAATGGATTGAAGACGGGGATCGCAACACTAAATACTTCCATTCCTGTGCTACGGTTAGGAAGAAGAGGAATGCACTGGTGGCACTTAATTTTAGAGGAGAAATAGTTGAAGACCCAATTGCTATTAAGGACATTGTGAAGGATTATTTTTTTAAGATCTACAATAACCGATCTACTCTAGAAATTGATGAATTAAATCTGGATTTTTCCAGAATTTCTTTGGAGCAGAATCAGTTCTTAGAGCAGGAATTTTCAGAGGAGGAAGTTTGGGATGTTGTGAAGTCTTGTGGAAGTAACAAAGCTCCGGGTCCCGATGGCTTTAATATGGGTTTTTTCAAGAGGTTTTGGCAGGTACTTAAGGAAGATATTATGACCTTCTTTAAGAAGTTTTACTTGGGAAAGGATTGGGAACATGGAATAAATCACACTTTCATCACTCTTATTCCGAAAATTTCAAACATTGGTGGTTTGGACGATTTTAGACCTATTAGCTTAGTGGGTGGTTTGTACAAGATCCTCTCTAAATGTCTGTCAAGGAGACTTAGGAGCTGCATTTCAGATTTGATCAGTCCATGTCAATTCGCTTTTATTCCCGGTCGACAAATCTTGGATTGTTCCCTTATAGCCAATGAAGGGATTGACTTTTGGAAGAAGAATGGTTTAAAAGGATGTGTTTTTAAAGCTGATTTCAAGAAGGCATATGATACTCTTGACTGGCCTATTTTGTTCAGAATTATGAAGGAAATGGGATTTGGTTCTAGATGGATAGGGTGGATTTCGAAGTGCATCACTTCAGCAACTGTTTCAGTCTTGGTGAATGGGGTTCCAATCGAGGAAATCCCAATGGCTAAGGGTCTTCGTCAAGGCTGTTCGTTGTCTCCGTTGTTGTTTAATATAGTTGGGGAACTATTGAATTTATTGATACTTAAAGCTGTTTCAGGGGGTCTCTTTTCGAGTTTGATGATTACAAATGGGGAGAAGAATTTTAATTTAACACATATACAATTTGCTGACGACCTTATAATATTCTGTGGTGCGTCGAAAAAACAGATCTTGAATGTGAAGAGGGTGCTTCGAGTGTTTGAGATTATTTCTGGACTTCAGTTGAACTTGAAGAAGTGCAAATTGTTTGGGGTGAATTTAAGGGAAGAGGAAATTAAGGATTGGGCAACTACGATTGGATGTTCAGTGGGTTATTTTCCCTCTGAATATTTGGGACTCCCTCTTGGTCCACACAGGAACTCTAACATTCTGTGGGATCCAGTGGTTCAAAGCTTCAATAAGAGGTTAGCAGGCTGGAAAGGCTCTTCTTTGTCACTGGCGGGCAGGCTGGTTTTGATTAAATCAGTCCTATGTTCACTTCCTATATACTATTTGTCATTATTTAAGGTACCAGCTTCAGTATACAAGACCCTAAACTCTATTATGTCAAATTTTTTATGGGGTGGAGGAGGTGGGAGAAAGAAAATCCATTGGGTAAGCTGGTCCAACGTTTGTAAACCAAAAATTGAAGGAGGCTTGGGAGTTCCTAATTTAAATACGATGAATAGGGCTTTATTGGAAAAGTGGGCTTGGAGGTTTGCTATGGAGAGGAAGGCAGTTTGGAGGGAAATGATTGCACTAAATACAAATTGGATTCTTCATTGATGCAGCTTGATAGTAAGGTTTCTCCTAAATCTTCTTGGATATGGAGATCTTTGGTGAATAATCATTTTAAAGCTGATTCGATGGGCTGTAGTATCAGAAGCAATTATAGCTACAAAATTGGCAATGGGAGGAATATTCGGTTTTGGCAAGACAATTGGGCATTGGATCATCCTTTGAGGGTCATGTTCCCTAGACTATTCTCTATTGCAGTGAACAAAACCGGAAGATTATTTCAGTTTGGGGATTACAGTTCTGGGGGCTGGTTTTGGAACGTCCAGTTGAGAAGGGAGTTGAATGACTGGGAATTTGAACAATGGTTAAACTTGATGGCTGTTATTTCAGAATTTTCTGTTTCTACTGATGCGGTTGATGGACTGTTGTGGAAGGGGAATGGAGAAGGGGTTTTCAATGTTAAATCATGTGCCAATCTATATTATTCGGGTATTTCTGATTTGGAGGAAGCTAATTTTTGGAAATCTATTGTTTGGAGGGGCATGCTGCCTCCAAGAGTGGAGACTTTTCTTTGGCAAGTTATCTTAAAGAAGCTGGCAGTGAAGACAGCTCTGGTTAAGAGAGGTGTTCAGGGCATAAATGATTCTATGTGTCCTTTTTGTAATCTAGAAGAAGAGTCTTCATCTCATCTATTTTTTTCATGTTCGGTTGTTTGGCCAATATGGACTAAATTCATGGGTTATTGGAATTTTCAGTCTGTTTTTCATGAAGATGCAAAAAATTCCTAGTAGCATGGACTAACCTAAAGACCAACTCTCTGATGTGGTCATTTATCCCTGGAGTGGTCTTATGGACAATATGGAAAACTAGGAATTATATAGTGTTTGAAGGAGGGAAGTTTGATCGAGCAGAAATATTCTATCTAGCTAGGTGCAGGCTTGCTTCATGGTTTCTAGCTAGGGAAACTCAGATTTCTATTTCCAAGGATGCTCTTATTGCCGACCCGTCCTTAGTGGATTCTTGCTCGTCTTATACTAATCGGATTTCATCTAAGGTTCCTTGGTCCCCTCCTCCAGAAGGTTTTATTAAACTTAATGTGGATGCGGCTACTTCTAGTGATTGGAAGAGGAGTGGTTTAGGTGGCGTTCTGAAAGATAGTTCTGGTTCGATTCTCGGCTCCTTCAAAGACCCTGCTGGTCCGGGACCTCCAACTTTGATGGAATTGAAAGCTATCCTAAAGGGGTTATTTTATTATGAATCTATTCGCCACAAATTTAAAGAGAGATTGATTATCGAGAGTGATAGTAAGGTGGCAATTGGTTGGGTCAAGGATGTTGGTTCTTGTCCTGTCGTTTATGTTCAAGTTGTTAAGGAAATTATTCAAAAGCTTAGTGTTTATGAAGGTATTATTAGATGGGTTAGTAGAACAGCCAATATAGAGGCGGATGTTCTAGCTAAGTCTGGTATTGGTTGAGTATTATGTTCTATTAAGGGCTGGTTCTTTTTGGCTTTTTATCTCTGGAGGGAGATTAGACATTGTATTACTTTGTAATGTTTTAAGATTAATGAAATCCTAGGGCACTCTTTTCCTCCTTCCGCTGATTAAGGAACTATTTTCAAGTTCCGTTAATCATGAAGGGGGTTTTTAGTGAGGCCTACTATTCCTATCAAAAAAAAAAAAACACTTGTTTTTCCTGTACAGGTTGCTGCTGATAAGGGTCCTTTTCATGGTCCTCGTCCTGGGACTTGGGAGAAGCCTCTTAATACTCGTCGCTAGGAGAGTTTTTGCTTGATGGAAGAAAGGCAAAATTGTTGCTCTGTTCTGAAGTGCAAAATATTGGCCAGCATGGAACTCATCATCTATGTGTGCATGCTACATAAGTAATTTTTATCTTAATATGTAGTTAGTCATCTTAAGCTTCTTATATAAGATTCTGTGTTGCTTTCTTTTCATTGGTAGAGGAAGCGATACCCTTTATATATACATGAGATCGTAATATGATAATTTCAACTTCTATCGGGTCCAATCCTTCATCACCATTTTTTATTGTCGTTTGTTTTATTTTATTTATCGTTTTGCTTGAATATAACTAATATTACTTTAGGTATAAATGCTGCCCCCTAAATAAGGTAGTTGTCTTTGGTCCATTTGAAATTTACGATCCATGAATTAAGCTTTTGGTTACAACCTACATGTTAATATACATGCTACCTTTTTGACCTATTCGGACAATCTCCCGGAACAATTTCTCTTGGGTAGTAGATCATAGAAGACCGCAATGAAGTTTTTGCTTGTTGCAGAAAGATAATGTAACAGCCAATTGGAAACAAACTCCATATCTTAGTAGATTACTTTATTTTCTACTTTCTAGGTCATCTCATGCGACACTTGAATATTAGCGTTTTTGGTGGAGGGCATTTTTCTCTTGAAAATTGATAGTTATAATTTCGTGGATATCATTAGAGGGCAATTTGTTAATCTTGAGTGTATTATTTTCCTTGTGAGATGGAGGGGATATCATCTGTCATGGTAGATTTTGGTTGTGAATATATGCATTTTAAGTATTGACCTGGAAGCAAGAAGTCTGTGGATGGATATGATTCAACTTGCTTCCAACGGTCACATTATGGGCACTATTGGGAGTTGAATTAAATTTTGACTGCATGCTATTCCTTCAAAGTTGTGCAGTTCTGGCATGTAATTCAAGGTGTTATAAGTTGGAGTTTTGTCTGGAAAAGAAATATGTGAGAATGGGTTCTTCTCTCAAGTGATGTAGGCATTCAGTTGAATAGTGAGAATGGTCTCATCATCTAGAAGTACATTGTTTAAAGCATTCAGGGGCTTCCCTTTCGCTTGCTTTTATTAGCTCTTATTTCTTGATTTATGCTGTTGTGGTGAATGATGTATGGTTGCTGCAAAATTAGAGGACATGCTTTTCGGTATTTGGCGACCTAGAAGAGAATCATTTGTCTTAAATTTACTGTAGGCTGCCTTTGGTATCCATTTCCATATGGTGTGTTTGAAACTTGGAGTTCAAATGTTTTAGGCAATAACAGAAAATGGTATGGTGTGTGTGACCAAGGACCTATTTAGATATCTTTCTTGGAATGGGGTTTCTATGTTATTCTTCCATTTGGGAATATATTGGAAAAGTGGAGCTGAAGTAATTCTTTGCATTTATTCTTATGGTCTGTTGAGAATGTGCTAAAGAGCTAGACCATAATTGACTTTGACTTTTAGTGGATTTTGACTCGAGGTATCTTGGATGGAGAAAGTATTAATTTTGACGTTGATAGTAGAAGTATTAATTTGGATGGAGAAAGTATTCTTATGGTCTGTTGAAGTAATTTTGACTTTTAGCAGATTTTCCCAGCTAAGAAGTGTGAGCCAAATGTACACATTTGTGTCTGCAGTAGCACTACTCATCAGTAGTTGTTAACATTTTCTCCCACTCTTGCCAGAATTACAAGAAAGTATAGCAATAGGGATTGATCGTATTTTCTATGATTGAGGGAATTCTTGTATTAAGCTTATCCAGCAGGTGGCATATGCAATGGAATATTTTGTATACATAGAAAAAAGGATTTAGGTTTTGGAATATTAAGTCAGCTATTGAATCTACTTGCATAAATGGTCCACTTCCACGGATGGATCCTTTCAGAACACACAGCGCTTGAAGAAAAAACTTTTGGCTCCTTGATCGGATGAAGTTTTCAATTCATCCTTTGATTAAATCTTATAGCCATCATTTGCAGTTTTATTCCTGCCCATAGAATCATCTGGTGCAACTCTACAGCTCTGCTGTCTGTTTTTGTTCTGCAAAGTTACTCAGTGGTCAACGTATTCCAGGCAGCCCCTACATAATTACAAGTAGTTCTGTTATTCATTGGCATGGAAAGATATTTGAAAGATGATGGGAAGCCATGTGGAAGAGGTTGACTACTGATCGGTACTTAGGCAAGTTTTGTCTTTTTTATGTGTTCCGTGGATCTTCAATTTCTTTTTAAGTTGAACTTCACTGAGACTATCATTGATTTCATTCTCTTAATTTGACATTTCCTGCTTTATATAGATATACCTGTATCCTTGCTGAGTTCCTTAGATTTATACCTTGCTCTGGTTAATCAATATATAGCTGTATTAGTGGATATGCATTTGTCATTTGCCAAGGCTTTGTATGAGGATTAGGTCTTGCCAAAAAAAAAAATCGAAGAGAGATCATGCTATCAGGCACTTGTTTGTACCAGTTTGTGGTGAAATATTCCATTGGTTGTGCTGGAACTAGTGGTCTTGGATTGGAAGGGGAAACGTTTTATTCTAAGTGCTCAAGGATGATAGAAGATGTTAGTTCTATTTGGAACATTTGGTTGGATACTTCTGGACTGATACGATTCACTTGAAAATACACACTTCATACAAATAAGATATTCATTAAAGTTGATTTAGAATTCATATATCGTATAGAAGGGAATACACATAGCGTCAATGCTGAGGATAGTTGTTTCTTCCCTATTTTAGTGAAAAGAAGAAGCTGCCCAAGCAACAATCTACAAAGATATCTAAGAACAACTTGAATGGCTTCTCTAACTAGATAGAGAAAATCTGTTGGATTGATGTATCATTTGTAAAAGCTAATTTTTTTCTGGCTTTATGATTTATTTTGATGCCAGGCTCTTAGAGGAAGTGACAAACTTGTATCTCTGCCTGTATATTGCGGTATCTTTATTCTTAATGAGATCAAGGTCTGAATCATTCTGGTTCTATAGCTAGAGTACTGTATTTATGGGAGAAAGTAGTTGTTTTATACTAAATATGGAGTCTGTGAAAGGTGGAATTTGCTGGATGCAAACCACATCCAAAAATGGTTTCCTCATTTATGGGATGATGTTTCCCCTGCATCATGCTAACAATGTGAAGAAAAATAGGATCTTTTGGTCTACAAAGATGTGTTCTTGAGCATGGACTGTTGGATGTACATTGTTAGAGAGTTGCCATTTGCTTCTTAAGGCTTTCCTTCATGTAACCAAAGATATATGGAAAATGATGCTAGCAGTTCTGAAGAGTTAACTTGTTGCTGATCTGAAATTTTTAATTAGGAATGTCATGATAATAAGATTGCTTACGTAATTGTAGAAGTGGAGGCATGAGTACATGTATTCGTGGACCGCTGCTTTCCTTGCAAGTTCTTTTATACCAGTTAATGAATAGTTGTAGTTTCCTTGGATCATTCTGGTGATTAAATAAAATTGTTTTTTGTTTACCACTCACCTAAAGAAGATTCCTACTTTTTTATTCAAGATTCTTACTAATTTGTGTTTTTAATTGTTTGCAGATGGGGGATCTGGTATGCATCATCCATAAAGTGAAGAAAGAACATGTAGTAACCTTACATGAGATTGAGGACGTATGATGAATGAGGTAAAGTTTCATTCGCTTCTAGACAAACATGAAGAAAATAATAATTAAAAAAGAACCCTCTTTCCGAATGTGAGTGTGAAATTGATATTCATGCATAAATCTTAAAGGTGCTGCAAGTCGATGAGACAGTTACTCTCCTCTTGGCCCCAAGACAAGTGTTTATAGGCTAAACTTAGACATACTCGGAAGTGACTTTCAGCCAAGTCCATGTGGTCTGCTAGGCTAAAGTTCCAAGCCTGTGAAAATCAGGTTTGTAAGTTATTCTCCTAATCCTAGGCGTAGGCTACACTATATCAACCATCTCTGTTTTACCTTCTCATTCCCAGGTCTCCTGCAATCTCTAGTAATGGCATGATTTTGACATTGCAATTCCTGGGTATGATCATTGATAAACCAATTAGGTTTGCATACAAGCTTGTTTTAGTTAAGCTAAGATTTCCATAAAATGTCTCTCAGTCTTGCTAATAATAAATCAATAAAAAACAAGGTTCATACTGATAAAATCTAGGGTTCGTTTAGTTTCAAGAAACGGGTCATTTTCGTTTTCATATTTCTGGAAAGTGAATAACATTGATGAAAACTTGTTTCAAGAATTTTTTTATTTAACTTTTACAAAAAAAAATTATTTTACTTGCCATGTTTCCGATTATAAGAAAATATCTCTAGAAACCGAAGTCTTGTTTCTCCTTCCCCCCCCCCCTTTAAATCAGTCAAATTCACCTGCATTATTAGCTTGCATGCATGATAGAAAAAGTAGACCTAAATAATTTGATATGCTATTTCCATGAAACGCCAACCCTCTAAGTTACAAAACATAAAATATATACACGTAACGTTGTCAAGAACAAACTGGCATACACAAAAGTCATATCATTACAGCCTCTTGCATTGCTTGTTTAGGATCTGCAATATCTCTGTTTTGAACCCCATCACTATTGCTGTCCCTACAACCTGGTGTGGTCTTTTCTCTTTTAATTTTATTTGTTTTTGTGTATAATACTATGATTACATTAACACAAATTTATTATATAATAATATTTCACGTGCAATGTTAGGAATTATGCTTTAAAAAAAATCCTTCTTCCGTTTTCTTTTGAAAAGAGTGCACTTTTATATTTAGATTTAAAAAAAAAAAAAATTCACCCACTTTTCTAAGGGATTGCAGTATGTTTCTTAACTCAGTTAATATAGTTGTTATAGTCATTACGTAGAAGTTGTGAGTAGGTTTGAGTATGTGTACTTGCAAATATATTAATTTTAATTTGAAGTTCGGAATATTTTTGGAGTTTAGGAAATATATAAAATATATATTTAAACAAGTACTAAAAAATCACCAGTAAAATTAGTGCATCTCGTAAAAATGATATATCTAAAAAAAATAAAAGATAGTAACTGAAATACATATCATATTTAAAACCATCGTCCCTTCATAAATACTTTATTGCTTAACCACTATCACGTTCCTCCCTTACTCTTGACAACCTGTGGAACGATCCCAACTTCCTCAACCCACTCGGAATACCTATCACGAGCTAAAGACCGTATCAAAGACGGCCTCAGAGCTCGACGTCCATGGAAATTCATGTTCAACATCCACTCCATCAACTGCCCTCGAACCGTCTCTGAATCCATTTCCAGGTTTAGAACTAACGTGGCTTACTTCCGAATGAACTATGCCATGATCGTGCTTTTCATCCTTTTCCTCGGCCTACTATGGCACTTGATCTCCCTCATAGTCCTTGTTATCATGATGGCCCTCTGGTTGGTCCTGTACTTCCTACGGGACAAACCCTTGGTTATTTTCAACCGGATGACCTACGATCGCATGTTGCTCGTGGTGTTGGGGGTTTTGACCTTTGTGTTCTTGCTGTTAACTGATGCCGCCAGAAATATCTTGGTGTCGGTTTTGATCGGTGCTGTTGTCATCTTGGTCCACGCTTCGTTGAGGAAGATTGATGATTTTATGATGAAGAAACTACCATCTCGATTTCTGGACCTTCATCATCATCTTCATAGTTCTGGGTTTCTTTTTTCTCTTTCGAGGCTTAAATTGAGTTATATATTTGGTATTTTTTTATGAATGTTGTTTAATTTAACATTGTTAGGTGCCAAGGTGCCAACTGAAAGATGTTGATCCTCTAAATCACATGCATTGTTTAAGTGAACAATTGATTGACAATTGGGGTAGTAAACTGTAGATTGAACCAGTGTGGTTATGGTTCTTGTTCTTGAAGATTTATGTGTATTTTTCCTCTTTTCTTTCACACCAATTCCCGACATTAGTCGAAAAAGCAACATGTGATTTGGGATTTGAAGCCATTACATATGTAAGAGGCTAAACATTTATCATTAAATGGGGTTTTTTTAATAGTATGGAATGATCGTTAATATCTTACAAATTCAGTTGTTCGAACTTAGGACAATAAAGGAAAATAAAATTCACTGAGGCCACCATTCGTATATTTTCTCGAAATTCAAATTCGATATTAAAAAAAACACATTGATTAATTAAATAAAGAGAGCCCGACCGATACGGTGTCTTAACGTTTCTTGCATATTTATTGTACGAAATAAAACGAGCTAAAGTTTTAAGCCAAATTGGCGAATTGACATTTGAGATGTTTTGGTTCGTGAGACGGGTTAATTGTATCATATGTTTCTAAATTAAAATCCTCATTATAACTTGATTCTTACATTTTTTTAATTATTTAATTTCATCTTTAAACTATGTCTTTCATTCTAAAATAATAATTAAACTTTTAAACATTCTGATTTTATCCCTAAAATATGCCTCTTTCTAAATTGGTATCCAAACTTTTTGAATAGTCCAATTTCATCTTCAAATTCATGCAAATATATCATTAGTTTCAATCATAATTTAATCAATTTCTTTTCAAACATATAATAATATGTTTTCTTCTAAAGATTTTATTAACAAGGAATGTGATTAGTATATATGTATAGTTCAGGAGGAAATTGAAATGTTCAAAAAGTTTAGGGACCAATTTATAATGAATGCAATAGTTTGAGGATGAATTAAAACATTCAAAAGTTTGAGGATTAATTTAGAATGATAGTCATAGTTTAGGTATGAAAATGAAATATTTAAAAATTTAGAGATCAATTTAAAATGAAGGTCATACTTTGAGAACATATAATGTAATTAATTCTTATAATAATAATTTTATTTGAATTATATATCAAAATTGATTGCATCATTAACCATTCATAATATAAATTTATTTTATAATTTTTTTAATGATAGAATTATGATCATGTGAAAACTTATTCATGATTATTTAAAAATTATTATGTTATATCGACAGATGTTGATTTAAATGATAAGTAATTTGATATTGCTAAAATAATGTCTTGAATTCGAGTTCTTAGAATCAGGAGGACAAAATAAATATTATGTTATTATTTTAGTATTTTATTATGAATATAAATTAATATACACACGTGGATCAGCTTGTGCTCATATTTGTATAATATATATTTTCAATACCTATAATGTACAGCTTTTTTTAATAGAATTCATATTTTTTTATATTTTTGATTTTTTTATATTTTTGATTTTTTTATTTTAAATGATGATATTATTCCGTCTTTATCAAAATAATATTATTTTGATTAATATTATTATTTAGATATGATTTTAGTAAAAAATAATTTGAAACAATATTACTAAAAAAATAACTTTTGTTGAAAACATTAAAAAAACAATTTTTTATTTCACAATTTTCAGTTCTAAACCCCTAAAGGCTGAAACTCTATAGCCTAATCGTCTCCACAGCCGGCCACCGCGCTATCTAAAAATCATAGCCGCGAGAAGTCTCCACTATAAGAATCCAATGGCTCTGCCGCCGTACGAATTCGATCTCTATTTCCTTCAACCTGACCAAGACCGTAACTTGATCAACACACTCTTCATTTCGGGACTCCCGGACGACGTCAAGGCTCGTGAGATTCACAACCTATTTCGACGACGCGCTGGCTTCGATTATTGTCAACTAAAATACAGTGGCCGTGGCAACCAGGTAAATTAACATTTCTAATTTTTGCCAATTCTTTTACTTTCTGTTTGGTTTCCGAGAAATTTCCGTTCGTAGCAGTGAACATGGTAATAAGGACCCGGAGCTTAGAGCACTCTTCTTATTTATTATCTTGAGGAAATATGAAGGTGTTTTGAATTTACAATTAGTTAAATTTTAGAGTTATTTAGTAAAAATTTGATAAGCAATGTAAAGTTTAGGCGTTCTATTAATAGCTAATTTTGCTACTTGCTTCTTTTTTCCAGAAATCCTACTTTTTAGATGGGACTGTTCAGTTTGAATTTATTTTACATCTGAACTATGTTCAGCTATTTTGTAGAAAGAAAGGGTGGCATCTTTATTGCTATCTAATGATGGTATTGGGCAATTTTGATATGCTTATGAACTCAGCATTTTTTTTATGATCACATCATTGTTCTCCATGGTTCTTCGACGAAAGAACACTTCTTGAGAACATATATACAAAGGGGAATATTAATGTTGCTGCCCCATTTATATAGTCCTTGTTTTTTGTACAAAGGTTGGGAAATTGGGGATAAGAGAATGGTTGGGGATGCTGGGATTCTAATCCCGGACTTGTTGGAGGCGACCTCCTAAGTACAGCTGCATGAACTTACTGGGCTAATCTCTAAGTTCACCTCTTATATACTCATCGAGACTTGTGTTTTACTGAGCGGAAGCTTGTTGTTGTTTGCATTTTTAAGAGAAATTGTACTTGGAAAAGTAAAATAGCAGGGGACTGCATCTTATGGTCGCAGGTTGTTGCATTTGCTACCTTTATCAATCATCAATCTGCAATTGCAGCAATGCATGCATTAAATGTGAGTATAATTGCATAAAAAGAATTGTTGAAGCTTTTGGAGATTTCTATGACCTTATATTATGTTGATTCTTTTGATTAACCATATTTAGGGTGTGAAGTTTGATCCTCAAGCAGGATCTGTTTTGCATATTGAAATAGCCAGATCAAACTCAAGGAGAAAACGTAAACCATGTAAGTGTCTTATTTGCTCATAAGGATTTTTTACAGCTCTCGAATCAGCGGAGTATGGCACTCGAGAAGCCTTTTTCTGAAGAGGAAATTTGGGGTGTAATCGCTAATTCGGATTGTAATAAAGCACCTGGCCCAGATGGACTGAATTTAAGCTTTTTTAAGAAGTTTTGGTCAAGTCTGAAGAAAGTTTTGCTGCTGTTTTTTAAGGAATTTTATGAGGGAAAGGAATGGGACATGGAAACCAATTATTCTTTCCTCTCTCTTATTCCCAAGAGGGACAATCTGGAGGGGCTTGAAGACTTTAGGCATATTAGTCTAGTTGGGGGTTTCTACAAAATTCTCTCAAAAGTTCTGGCTAGAAGGTTAAGCTTATGCATTAATGAAGTTATTAGTCCTTCATAGTTCGCATTTATACCGGGGAGGCACATTTTAGATTGCTCGTTTATAGCAAATGAAGGCATTGATTGTTGGAGGAAAAAAGGATTGAAGGGA